GCCGCTCGCTCGGGCCTATGTTGCCGTTGCTGTAGCGTCATTGTTTGCCGCCACATTTTCCCTCCATTTTTTTCCCGTTACAACAAACATGCTGCTGATGATGACGGGCCGAGTGCGCGCAGTGTCCGTGTGCCACGCCCCGCCACGCCCCGCTCCGCCACCCATGCTTTGTCCGAGGCATGACAAGGCCAAAACAAAAAGTACCAACACAGCGCGCGGCGGCTTTCGTGCGGGGCGCGCAAACGTCGACGGCGCTTATTGGGAAGTCTGCATTCAAGAATTGGGGAATAGGATCGTTACCCAGCAGAGATGTCGAAGGGGCGCCTCTACACAAGTCGAAGGGGCAGACGCGCAGACGCACAAATAACAGATGAAGGGAAGACGGAAACTGTAAAGGGGCAATCATTTTGTTCCTTAAACGTCAACGTTTTCGTGCACATCGAGATCAGATGCAATTTTGTTCCTAAAATTGGCGAAATTTTGTAGGTGTGAGACTGTATGCGTTTAGTAAACGATTCCGTTAAAGCTGAGTAAAACAAAGTGGAGAACAAGAACCCGGATATAACAACACTCTCATCTCGTTACTGATTTTTTGCCACCCCGTGTCAGTATTTATGTTAATTTTTTAAGTAGGAATACTACAGTGTTTTATCAGGAGCGCATTAATTCCTTATTACGTTACTGACAATTTGATTTCTTATTAGGATATATTGAACGAAACTATGCGGAATAATGACAAATTGATCAGTAATTCCTGCTGTAGAGAATTCCTAACGTTTCGCCTGACCAAAAAATCAGTACATGTCTGCCAGTGCATGTTCCATGTGCTATGGAAATTTCTGTTTTCTTAGTCCTCGCATTCTTCTTTTCAGCTTTACCGACATGCATGGACCCTATGTCCTTTTTGTAGCTTACAGCGCACTAAATCAACTAATTCCCTTTCTGCTGTTGCTGATAACTGCTGCCGCAGCGTTGCATGGGGCCCATGTACCACACCCGCGCAGCGGAAGCACCGCGTCGTCGCCGGGGACGGCATGAAAATCAAATCACGTTTCATTTGACGGGGAAATCGGACGGGTGTCGGACAGACAGGCCGACGCGAGCGGAGAGATGGACAGACGAGACGGGCGGGACGGGGAGG